AGCCGCTTCTGGCGTGACTTGGTGCCAAGCGGCTCCAGATGGTGGGTTATGCAACAGCTCCCCTCGCGAAGGGGTTGTTTTCTCGGCCCCTCGATGGAAGACAACCCCCCCTCCCTTAAAACAGGGGAGGCCTGAGGCTTCTCTGCCCCTGTGCCAGGCAGTTTCCTCCATTCCTCAACCTGCTTGTGCCGAAATGGTTGCAAATGGGTTAGTTTGAAATGGTAAGTTTTGCGATTTTTTTGTTTTTGCTTTTTTCGCTGAGTGTCCTTCCTGTGGGCCCCTCCCTCTCCAGGGCGAAGCTCTCTGGTACCCAACCTAGAAGAAGAGATTGACTTGGTATCCGATGCGGTCTCCAAGCAGGGGAAGAGGCCTCTGCCCCACGGCCAGGAAGGTACGGCTGCCCCAGGCCCTGGAGGCCTGGCACAGAGCAGGGAGAGCATTGTTCATTTTGCAAGGGGGGAGGGCGTCTCTCCTTCCTCTTCCTCCTTCCCTCTGTGCCAATTGGCCCTTCTTCCTCCTCGCCCAGAGACCCCGCTCCCCCCTGGCCCCCACTCCAAGAATGGGGCATCCAAGGCAGAGTCTTCGCAGAGTGGCCGGCGGGGAGGGCCAGATACATCGTCCCACCCCCCCAGCACCGAGCTGGTCCACAACCCCCCAGTAGAGTCGACCCACATCTCTACCAACGATGCCCTCGTCCTCGGTGAGCCTCCGCCCAACCTGGGGGGGGGGGAGCAAGACCTCAAGATGCTAGTCCTCAGCTGTAGGATGGCTTGGGAAGGCTATCCCATCTTCAGTGGCCGTCTATCTTTGGGGGAGAGGGGTCAGCTGTAAGGGGGCCTGGGGCGGGGCGTATCCGACTGCCCTTCCCTCTCCAAGCCTCTGTCCTCCCTTGCAGGGTTGATCGTCAGCTGCACGGCTGCAGGAGTGGCGGCTCTGGTGGTGGCTCTGATCTGCTGGTGCAGGCAAGTCCTCTGGGGCTGCCCTTGGGCACCGGGGCACAGCAGCGGGCAGAGGGGGGGGGCAACTGACTTCCTTCAAGTCACAGACTTGAGATCCGCCCCAGAGCCCTTCCGCGCTTCCTCCAAATGGAACCTCCCTGGCATCAGCAGTCTACCAGAGGAGGATGCTTTGGGGCGCCCCTGCCAGCTGTTGTGCTGCTTCCCTCACGGACGTCCTCCTCTCCCCGCAGGCTGCAGAAGGAGATCCATCTGGCCCAGAAAGCGGATTATCCAGCAAATAAACTGCCCCAACTCCCTCCCTATGACAAGCTCTCTGTAAGTGCGCCCCTTGGCATGGCGTGCCAGGGGTGGTGGTGCCCAGTTCTTCGGCCAGCCCTGGCTCTTTGGGGGTTGCCTTGTGCCCAGCTTCTCTGTGAGCCTGGCTCTTCTGGTGGCAGGGAGCTCTCTGTGCCCCCATCTGGGCCTGGCTCGTTGGCACCAAGGCCAGGGAACGGCCTTCTGTTCCCCTCCGGGTGCGCAAAGTGCCACCTGCTCCGGGGATGCTGTGTTGGTGGTGCCTGTTCTGCTGGTATGACATGCTCTGCAGTGTGGGCGTCCTCCCTTCTTCCTCTTTCCTTCTAGCCTGGCGATCAGAAGCTGGCACAGAGTGCCCAGATGTACCACTATCAGCACCAGAAGCAGCAGATGCTCTCCATGGAAAAGTGCGTCTTGCATTGCGGTGATGGGTTCGAAGCACTTCAAGAGGGTTGGGTTTCTCTGCCCTCTTCCTGGTTTCTCCTTTGACCCACCTGTGAATAGGGTCCAGAAGATGGGTGGGAGGGAGGCCAGGGGCTCCTTCGGGCAAGGCTGAAAAGAGCTGGCACCCCTGCCCGCTTCTGTCTCCGCTTAGTTGGGGCACAAAGCTGATTGTCAGCCGGGGGCTTTCTAAACAGGTTGGCAGCCTTGGAAAGCGTCAGGTAAGTCAGGAACCCCTGGATGAAATAAACCTCTGGCGGTCAGATGTGGAGGAGGTGAGGTGTAGGGATTTGACAGCCAAGCAGTAGCAGGGCCTCTGCCCATTCACCCCTTTTTTTTCTTGGGGCACCCCCAAACAAGCTCTGGTCCAGAAGCTCCACAGAAAAAGGCTTCGGGTTGAGATGCTGGCAGTTCTGCCTCAGCTTTGGCCAGAGGTTTTGAAGCCAAAATCTCAGCTGGTGGGGCAGTTAGCTTGGCACGAGGTGGGCTCCTAAGGGAGGAGGTGAGGCAGGGCATCTCACTACATTTGCCCCCTTTCCCCCCCCCTGGAAATCTGTAGGCATAAGGAGGAAACCAAAGCTCCGGAACCCGTCTCCTCGGACGAAGAGAATGAAGACGGAGACTTCACGGTCTACGAGTGCCCCGGCCTGGCCCCGGTAGGTGTCTCTCTCTCTAGGTGGGGAGGGGGCACAGGCCTTCACCCCCACCCCTCGCTGCCTTGCCCTGTTTCTGAAGGAGGAAGCAGGGCAGACCTCTGGGGTTGGCGCATCCTTGGAGCAGGTCGGAGAGACGGGAAGGGAAACGGCTTCCAGGGGTCTCCTTTCCATGCCACGGGGAGTCCGGTTCTCACGGGTTGTGGGGCTGCCTTGCCTGGCGTGAATCCAAGCGGGGACTTACGTGCCCAGAGCACCGTCCTTGCCGGGCAGTGCCATTCTACTCCTCCAGGCAGTGAGTGTGTGACAGTTGTCTCTCTCCCTCTCTCTCCCTCTCTCTCTCTCTCTCTCCCTCTCTCTCTCTCTCTCTCCCTCTCTCTCTCTCCCTCTCTCTCTCTCTCTCTTCCTCCCTTGCTGGCCACTGCAGACTGGAGAGATGGAAGTGAAAAACCCCCTTTTCGACGACTCCACTCTGCCCGCAAAGCAGCACCCCTGACCGGGAACTGTGGACTGTGCACAAGACCGGCCCGAGGGCTGCCTGACCAATGGCTCTCCTCCGCCCTCCTCCTCCTCCTCCTCCGCAAATTCTTGGCTGAAATAAACCTGCCATTTTGGCAACTCGCTGCTGCTTGCGCTCGGCTTCGCCTTCTCCCCTGCACCGGCCCTTCTCCCGCCTGGCTCCCAGACGTCGGATGTCGGTGAAGAGGCTTTGTGGACTATCTGGACTCCAGAGGGAAAGGGGTCTTGCCCACCTCCTGCCCCCACAATTCCTGCCAGCCTTGGGCAGGGCAAGACCCGCCATGCAAAAAGCAGAGTTCAGGATGGGAGGGCTTCTCTTTTCTCTTTCCTGGTTTTGCAGCCCTCCCCCCACCCCCCAGGTTAAAACCCCGGGGCTGGGGAGACCTTGAGGCTCGAGGCTTCTCTCTTTGGGAGGGAGCTGCAGCTTCAAAGGAGGGGAAGTGTTCGGACAGGCCCTTCCCCGCCCGGCCAGTTGAGATGACTTGGGAAAGCGGTCCGTGTGCCCATTGAACAGGTGGGAACCCGAGGCTGGAAAAGGTGCATCTCCCCGTGTAGTAAGCCCAGGTCCATTTTATACCGTTTTCAGGACTTTCCCCAAAGGAACTGCATTTTGAGGTGGCTGAGGGTTCATTTGCAGGCTTGCTGGGCAAAATTTTAGTTCTCAGGATGTCAAGGAATGGAAGGAATGTTACAAAACAGCGTTAAGGTCTGCAGAGTGACCTGTCCAAAGATGGGGAGCCCCAGAGCTTCTTCCATTGGGGCAGGCAGACTTCACCCCTTAGTTCTCTCTGGCTGTGCCCACTCTTTTGCCAGTGTGGTGCCCGCTCCTCGCCCTGGCCCAACCTGAAGGGAGGTGACTTCTATTCTGCCTCCTTGGGCTTTTCCGAGGATTTCATAGCTGTCTGCCAGACTGGCTGACCAAGAGCTGGGACGGCATTGAGCCAAGTTATCTTTTCTTTTTCATTACAACCAGATCCAGAAGGTTGACTTGTTTTATTTCATACCAAATTCAGAAGGTTTCCAAAGTGTTTCTGAATTCCACAATTAAATGGGATGGGTGTTGAAGGGAGAAGAATGAGATTCTTGGTCACCTGTGTTGTCTGCTTTCGGAAGACGCGATATTCCAAGCACTTGATCTCCCCCTCCCTCAAGAATTGTGAGGAGGGGATGAGTTGTGTTAAAGGCTGATTCCTACCCCCCATCTTCGCAAATCCAAAGATATTCATAAACCACCCGGGTAGCTGTAACCAATTTCTCCTTGCCCCTGCTGTGAGGTCTAGAAACTTGATGGAAAACAAGAAAAGGAAAACAAGGTTTCCTGCTCGGGTGCGTAAGTGAAGTTTGCAAAGGGGCATCTGTTTATGCAGTTGGACTAATGGATGGTGGTGCAACTCGCAAGCCGCTTTTTGGAAGTTGGCACCTTGCAAGGTAGGGTGAGTTGGCAGGCACAGAGGGTGGATATTTTATTTTATTTTGGAGATTTGCCAAAAGGCTCAAGAAATCGTGTTTGGGGTGCATTAGAATTGCATCAGCAGCTTCCCTACTCTACCTGCACCTCTATAAGTTTTTGCAAAGGTGCCCCCTCCTTCCCATCGGTGTCTCAAAGAGGGTTTTCTTGGGCCTGAATGGAAGGGCCTGAAACTGCAACCAGAGGGGCCCCCAAGCCTCCATCTGCTGGGACCCCTCGGCTGGGGTCCCCCTATCTGAATCAGAAGAGGAGGGTTTTGGGGGGGGGTGTAGCCAGTTATCAGCCAGAGCAGCCATCTTTGTAAGCCGAGAAGAAGAGTCCTGTGCTGCAGGACGAAGAGTTATCAGGGCTGTTTCCAAAACAGCTTTGGGGTGGGGGGACGGGGGAGATCCCTCTGTTTTTTGAGTTTGCACAGCACTTTTGCACTTATCCCGCTGAGTAGTTTATTCCTTACTTTTGTATTTCCAAAGAAGAAGCTGCACACAAGGGAAGGAGACCTGAACTCGGAGCTACAAGTTCCGAGTTGCCTCCTCTACTGCTTGGACTGTGTCCGTTGCTAATATGGAGGGAGGGAGCGGACAGTTTATCCTCCAGCCTTGCTCCAAGTGGGGGGGGGGGTTTCTAACAGTGCCCCCCAGAGCTGCCAGCTCTTAAGAGCCCAGAAGCGATAGCGGGCCGGTGCGGGGCAGGGAGGAGAGAATGCCACACAGGGATCGTTTATTTTTTTCTTTCTCGTTTTGTTATTTTTTGTTTCCAGACCTGTATGGACTGTGTTTAATAAATTTTATTAAATGACCAATTCTCAAGCTAGATCTCTGATGCTTCTTTGGTGCCCTGTGGCTTTAAAGGAACTGTTTTCTTCCTGAATTTAGGGCTACCTTAAAGAAACGTATGTCTGTCCTCACGGCGTCTATCCTTGGGGGAACCTGCGGCCATGTTGGTTTGAGCCCCAAATTATTCTGTGTCTGGGAATATCTGGGAAGTATTTGGAGAAATGCAGATAAGGGCTCTCAGCCTCCTCATGTGGTGTCTTTAATATTCTTTTGCAGGATGTGAATAGGACCAAAGGTCTCATCTAAAGATTTTTTGGGGAGGACACACAGGCTGATTCTCCAAGATGGCTCGGAGACCATCCAGGCCTGCGGGGTGGTGGCCAGCATTGTGGCCAGTGGTCACTCTGCCCCCCCTTACCCCATTAGGACAGGCAAACCAACTGCTTAGCTCAGCCTTCCTGCTTTGGAATGGGACAACTTGCTATATAGCAAAGTCGCAGCAAACTCGCCACAGCCAACTCACTGCAACCAACTCACCACTGGACAGCTTCTCACGGCCAACTTGCCACAGGCCAACTCGCTACAGGACAATTTGCCAATTCGATTTCCTGATTTAAAATAAATAAAGACAACTTTTAATTTTTGCCATTCCCATTTCATTCGGCCCCCCTCTCCTTTTGCATCCTTTCTTTAAGGTTTCTATTCCACCATTTCTTTGATATTAGTGTAACTCTTGTCCGCAGTCAGTTTTTCTGTGGCGAGGTTGCTGTGGTGATCTGTCCCGCAACAAACAAAACGTCAAAGAGTTTTATGCAAGTCAATCGCACTCTGCACATATTTTGAGGAAGATAATTTACTATTAAGGGGGGTTATTTTCTTAAATAGGAAAAGAATATTCAAGTAATCCGATTAAACATTCAGGCAATTCAAGTTAGGATTGGAGCGGTGCGCGATGCTCGGTGGTGATGAAAGAAAGAATTATTTTGACTCTGTAAAGGTAGAAAGATCCAAGAGGAAGGAAGGAAGATTTATAGCAGCAGCAGCAGCACCCTTGTGTGTCAAGTTGTCCACCAGGGGGGCTCACAGGCCTTTCTGGACCCCAGTTTCAAACCCTGATCCTGCTCTTAAAGATCCCTTTTTTAAAACGCTCCCAGCGATTGCCCTGTTAAATCTTTCTTTCTGGATGCTGGCAGTTTAGATTGTCATTTAAATTCCTCCAAGGTAGCATATTGCACGGGGGATTTTCTCCCCCCTCCACCCCAGCCCTGCAAAGTAGGTCAGCGTAAGATTAGGATTAGCGGATCCCTTTTAGACTGGGGGAGGGGGGTGGAAGGGGAGGGAAAGTTGGGGGAATTAAAAACGGGTCTCTCTCGAGGTGGGGTGGGGGGCTTCCAACTGGGCACCGGGTTCAGTCCAGTGGTTTTTCGGGAGAATGAATGGGCACCCGCTCCGTAGGGATCCAGTGGGACCGCTAGAGGGAGCTGATGGCAAACACGAGGCTGGCACCGGATTGGCTCTGTGCCAAGAAAGGGCCAGATTTCACCAGAGGCGGAATGAAAAGGACGTGAAGCGATGATGTTCACAGGATGTGGGGAGCACGTGGGACTCGGAGGGCTGAGGGAGGACCGAGATCCAGTCTGGAGCATCCGGCACTGTGGCCATGGGTCACTCTGCCTCCCCTCCCCTGTTAGGCCAGGCAAACTGGCTATCTAGCTCAGCCATCTTGCTTGGCCGCTGCTCACCCACCTCCTGGCGAAAGATGAGGCTGAAGTCAAGGGACTCTCTCCCTGAGGGTGCCCAGAGGATGGGTGTCTCCCCGCTGCCAAACCAGGCGCTGTAACCACTGCACCCGCTGGCCCCTTGCTTAAGACAAGGAGGGGCACTGAGGTTTCTAGCTTCCTTTCCTGCCAGCTTCACTTGGGTAAACAGGAAAGGGTTTACGGCCAGGCTGATCTTCTGTTTCGCGCCTTTCTCTGCTGCTGGAATGGCTTTCCCCTCTGCCGCTGCCTCCCGTGTGTGGCATTCGATGTGGGTTCAACTACAGATCCCATCTTCCGTCCCAGAATGGGTGGTACAGGGCGACGGAGCTTGCTGGGGTAACAGAGAAGAAATGAAGCTTGAGCAAAGAAGGAAGGGAGGGAGGAAAGGAAGTTGAAGGAAAGAGAACAAAAGAATAAGAAGGGAGGATAATTGGGGAAAGGCGGGGGGGGGCCCTGTGGGTGGGCCCTGGTGCAAATGGAGGGGCTCTTACTGGTCGGTGCCAAAGGTGGGCAGCTCTGGGGCAGGAGAGGAGCCACAGACAGTCTGGCTGCCCCAGAGACAATCCTGGCTTCAGAGGCTGATGCCGCTAGTAATCCCAAAACCAGCGCTTCAGGTCCGGGTATAGTTTCTCCAAGGGCAAGCGAGGGTACTCCCGGCAGATGGAACAGAACCGTTCCTGCCAGTCCTGGTGGAGTCTGACCGTGTAGTTCCGCTTCCAGGCAAAGAAGCTCCGGTAGTGGCTTTCGTTCATGGTGGTCAAGAAAGTGGCCAGGTCCTTGGCTGAGCTGAAGTCATCCACGTGGATAAAGGCATTGGCCGGGATGAACTGCTGGTAGTTGGCGCGGGAGGGGCCCAGGACGATGGGCACAGAGCCGGCGAGGAAGGCGTTCCTCCACAGCTTCTCCGTGATGTAGTCCCGGTGGATGGAGTTCTCGAAGGCCAGGTAGAACCTGTACTTGGAGATGGTTGGCAGCAAACAGTCTGGGCACAGCGGCTTCCTGTTGGCCTTTCCGAACACATCGATTCTGAGGTGCCTGGACAAGTTGTAGAACATCGCTGCCCTGGCTTGGGAGTGCTGATAGTTGCTGATCACCCAGGACACTAAGCCGGTTTTCTCGGGGATCTCCACCACATCCAGCGAGTGAGGCACTAGCTCCCCATAGGGGATGAAGAGGTCAGCGTCTCGCCTGTACGAGAGGACCCAGTTCCATTCCTTCCCCGTCCAGCCCTCCAGGGCTTTGGTGTTGCTTGGAGACTCCAGGGAGACCCAAACCCACTTTTGCCAAGGGTGGGCCTTGGACAGTGGAAGGCCCTGTCTTTGATACTGGAGTTCCCAGTGATGGAACACCACAACGTCTGCTTGGATGAACAGGCTCCGGTTTGTGGTCAGTTGGCAGCCTGTGATGCCGTAGAGCCTGGAGCAGACATCACCGGTCAGGTTTGGGGCTGCCCCGAAGGGCCAGCTCCAGATCAGGAGGGTCAAAGTGCTGTTCTGCCTTGAAAATCTTGGAGGGTTATCGGACAACTTGAAGAGAAGCGGGGCATTCCAGAACAGGACGATGCCAAGGAGAGATGCGCTTGCCCAGATCTTTGCCATGGGGGCCATCAAGTGGAAAAGTGACTAGCAACACAACTACTGCTTTTACGTTAGCAGCTGGCTTGAGGAACTGCGGTTGCTCGACCCTCTTCCTTCCTTTGTCCCAACAGTTCTGCAAGAGAGACAGAAGAGGTTAGGGTGCTCAACGGATTGCAAAATATCCCCCGTTGCATTAAAGGAAGTATGGAGTAGCTCGGAAGTCTCTCGTTCCGGCCCTTCCCTGACCCCAAGGAGGCTGGGGGTTTATGAAACCTTAGCCTGACACAAAGTGAGATCGGAGTCTTGGGTGTTGTTAAAGTTGGAAGGGATGGAAGAGACTGCAAAACTTTTCAGCTTCAGCGGTGTTACCACCACCTGCAGTGACGCCGCAGTGACACCAACTGCTATGCCTTTGGGAAACATGGAGCATTGTAATGCAAGTAATATTTCATGAACTATATTTCTGTCTCACATTGGCTACAAACAAATACAATCTCTCTCTACCCGCCCCTCATATCTCTTAAGCCAAGACTCAAAGAGGAGATAAAACATGATCCCTGGGTAGTAGTGAAAGAAGAGGGGTGTCTGAGGGACATAAAAACAGAGGATGGGTCCAAGCAGGGAGAACAAGGAAGAGAAACCCCCCCCCCACAACTCTGAAAAAAAAACACCTCAGTTTCTCTCTCCTACAACCTTCCCATTATCATCCAACCAACATTACAATCTATTATTTGGAAGAGGGTTAGAAAATTGAGTGGGTTTTTTTTTTTTAAGGTTCAGTGGGATGTAAACTCTGGTATTTTGAGGATGTTTTGATCTGAATTGCTTTCACTTCTCGCTCAGCCAGATTTTGTTCTGGAGGTTAAATAGAGAGAAAATCACAATACCCGAAAGCAGGCTGTCCATGAAGTGGGGGCAGGGGAGCTTTAGAGTTTTCTATTCTGGAAAAGGAATTTGTGGAGAGGTATCTGAGCAGAACTCTTTATTAACAAGACATCTGATAGTCATACTAATTGTGCAGATTCTGGCTTCTTTAGTTGATAAGGTTTTCTTTTTTTCATTTGCGTTCCTCTCCCTACCTATTCTGTTTTTTGGCTGAAACATATTTTTGCATGCTGTGCACTTCTATCTAAACGCCGTACAACGAAAGCCAATGCGTGGTGCGGTATAAACAATGAGCAAACGTGAACAATGTAATGATCAGTTCAGGACAGTCTGCCTTAATTTAACTGGCATCCAAACCTCCACTGTAAAGAGAAACCTTAAGATTCACAAAGGTCCGGTGGAGAAAAAATAAAATAAAATAAATGTTTTAAGGACCTTTAAAAACCTTTAAATATCAGTCTCCAAGGAAAAGTTGCGGGGAGCCAATATTGAAGCCAGATGAGAAATGTTTGAAGTCTGCGGTGGTCCTTCTAATCCCAACAACAACACTGGTTGCGCAAAAGAAGATGAATCGCTGTGCAAGGAACGGAGGTTTCTGCCCAAAGTGGCAGAGGCTGGCTCCCTTGCCGAGCAAGAACTGAAGAAGAGGAAGGGAAGGGCTCTTTCCAGGGATGCCAAAGTGATTCCAATCCAGTTTGAAGGACTTGCCGCTTTAAAAAATGCTTTCTTGGTTTGGTTGGAATGCCCCAGTGCAGCAGGCACTCAGGAGCACCTGGGTCGCTGCTCAATGCTTGCCTTTCAGTGGTTTCCC